TCCTGTTCAACATTTATCCAACGAAAATCGCAGCGAAACAGCATTGCCAGTAAAGCGTGGTACTTTTTCATTCATATTCCGTAATCTTCAGTTATGTTTGAACTGGTTCATTTAAGCCATTTATATGCTTAAAGAGAATCGCGAGAAGAAAGAAACTCCGGAGAAGCCGGTTATTTCTGAACCAAGCAACTTCGAACACACTGTTCACGTTGGATACGATCCTGCTACGGGTGAATTTACGGTTAGTTGCTATTCACTGGATTTGCTTTATTTTCTGGTTTTGCTCTCACTAATTAGTTAAATGTTTGGGTTATGAAATAACGAGGATTCTGTAAGATTCCCTAAACTTGCAGTTCTTTACGCTATGTTTCTGCTTTTGCAATGGTATTGCATAGGTGCGGCATCTTTAGTAATAGCACCGTTTTTCACTCTGCACCCTTAAGCTGCAAAATTTTTAACATAGTGTCAATTCTTAAATTTGTTCTTTAATATTTTGGCCTATATCTGGTGGGGTTTTTTCATGTTATTTTTTCAAAATGTTATCACAAATACAAATATCTGTAAACCTTCGCGTCTCAGTGGTAACAGTATTACCCGGTCTTCCCGACATGAAAAATTCCCTACTGATTCAATAAACTTATTAGTAGGTGTAGCGCTAGTCAGTGTACGGAGAGTTTGATACAGATGACCCACAGAAAAAACGTTTATAAAGAAAGTAGTCATTTATCAGTGTTTTGCTCTTTAACTAATGTCATTCTCATTTGTTTGGTGTCAACTGGACGCTAGCTGTATAATTGTACTTATTTGCTTGTTGTATCTAGATAACATAACTGCCATAAACGGTTTAAAAGCAAAGATGTGGTTTTTTATGATATGGATGATTTAGAGATGTCACCACATAATTTTCCAGTATCACTGTCATAGTGTCTGTAATCGTTTAGGTACTTACATACCCCGTTCTTTTCAGCCGATAAGTCTTCTACCCCATAATATGTTTCCTGTGTAGGGTTGGATTTTTTTAAAAACTTTTCACAGCGAAGTGGTAGAGTTTAAGAAATAAGTAAATTTTGGTAAGGAATAAGGATTTTTAAATCTTCTGGTGTTTCCTTGTCACATGTTGTATGTTGCTATCCTTTAGCCTTCGATGCGAATTAGCGATATATTTTTTGACATCAAAACGCAGAAGTAATTCGTCATGTAGTCTTTTTAATCAGGTGTCAAAATTTCTTTTATTATCTTGGCTTGAAACTTTAACTAATTCACTGGGAAGTTAAATGATTCTTTGTTCTAGAAACAACTGCAGTAATTTCTTGGTTGGTAGGTGAAGAACGTTCAAATAATGAAAGCCTAAGTAAATTTCCAAATGTCTATTTCTTCACCCCTTGAAATCTTTTACCATACTTTACAGTCTTCCACACTAAAAGTTCTGCTAATTATCCCATTTTTCCACCTCCTTGCTGTTTAAAGCAGCGACTAACATGGAACTCATTTCATTTTGTTGTGAACGGAACAGTTGCGGTGTATTACACTGACGCATACAAATACATTCCTAGCTGGACCTTCTGATAAACACCTATTGTGCTAACTCCGAACTTTTCGCCTCATTCATTGCAAGCGTAGTCGTATGCTATCACAAAATGCGTGACAATTATACGTATATCTTCATGGTGGGTATCATGTTCTCGGAGGACATAGTTCAGGTGGATTTTGAAAGGACTGCTTGTTGATGAACCACTGCTTGCAGGGTATGCCTTCAGCATGGGCAAGGTTGTTAATGGAATCACAAATTTCGAAACAAGAACAACAGCAAAATCCTCAAGCTGTTCTCGATGCTCTCAAGTATTACACGCAAGGCGAAAATGGCACCCAACAAAAGTGGCTGCAATATGACATGAGTGAGTGTTATTCCTCGTTATGAGTGGTATAATCTAATCATGCAGTGTTGTTTATGAATTTCTGGGGGCACCAACAGGTCCCAAGAAAATCGAGTTCAATAGACTTGGCTTGCACATTTTTTCAAAACTAGTTTTGGCGGTCGGGAACCTGCGTTGTTTCTGTTTACGAGTACATGAGAAATTGCGATAGAAAGTTTTTTTTTGTCCGCCTTTATTCTTATGTACTACATAGGTTGTTCTCAATGATCTAATGTTTTTGGGTACGCATAGAAGTTCAAAATTTTATCGGACTTGTTCCACACCATTTTTGTTCCAGTGCGCGAGTACAGAAACATTTGGATAGGAGTGACGCCCGCAATAGAGGGAAAAATCTCAAACTGTTTCAAGAAGGTGACATATTTATGGGTAGTGAGCTTTGACTCAGGCATCTTAAATATTATTTGTTTGTTGTGTCCTTTTCAATGATTTACTCGGCTTCTTAATTGTTAGCTTATAATTGGAACGCTGTGTATACATGCTTCAAGTATGTTATTAGACTCTATCTCTGAGACTCAAACATCGACCAACGATTCAAACGCTTTCCTTTCTTACAGTACAGTTTAAAGGGAGATTTTGGGATTGGCTGTATTTATTGTATCCAAAAATCAATCTAGGTTGACATCTTTGAAATTCAATTCCCCTTTTCATAA